CAGCCAGCGCGGCACCGGCTCAGCGCAGGATCGAAGCGCTTTATTTGTTTTTTTTTCCTGACGTGCCTGAATGCAGGGCTGGGAAGGTGGGGGGGGGGGGCCGGAAAGAAACCGCAAAAAAAAAAAAAAAAAAAAAAGGAAAAAAATTTTTTTTTTAAATAGCAGTCTGCACATCTGCCTTATCATCACCTTAACAATTCACAATGACATCCGACAGGCTCCTGGATGGGTTTTGGCATTTCCCAAAAAACCATCTGGACCCGACTCCAGGAGAAGGGTCATGTTTTCCCACCGGGAAGCCGAACCGGACCCCGGCACGACCCGCGTGCGCCTGGCCGCAGCGCAGGATAGGGCAGGGTCCGACCACAGGATACGGGGACGGCAACAGCAGCTGAAAATCCTCTTAAGGCTCTTGCTGCTGCTGCAAGGAAACAGCAGCAGCCCGTTGTTTTTACCTCCCTCGCAAGTGATAGCTATCGAGAAGGCAGACCGCCACTTTTCCGGCCATTAATACAAGCGCCTGGATATCCTGATAGGCTTTGCACAGAGCAGGGCTGAGCCTAGACCAGACTTTCGCCTGGAAAAGAGATCCCACACCCACCCATGGCCGGGCTGGGAGGCTGCTGGGACGGGGCTTGTACCGGGCTTCCAGCTCTTCCCATCCAGCCCCAGGTGAAAATCCACCGATGGCAGGGAGCGGGGTGGCTCCCTGGGCTCTGCAGGGCTGTGGGGTTCCAGGGAGCTGTCAGATGGCTCATTAATTAGCCACAAATACAAATGAGTGGCAACGGCTCCCATGGAGAGGCGGGTCGCTGGTGGGGTGGTACCATGCTGCAGGATGTTAGAGCCACACTGAGAACGCGGCAGAGGCACAAAGCAAAGTGGGGAACCAATATTTTAAAATATTTTTTTTTTCAAGGGGGCCTGAAATGACAGTAGCTGGGATGAAAGGAACAGCTGCCCTAAACCAAACCCCAAATCCAACACCGCAATCACTGCTTTGGAGATATTTCGCAGCTCTGTGTATACGTCCCAGCGATACACCCCATGCACCGGGCACCCAAACCGCCCTGGGATGTTTTTCGGGACACAGCCCTTCCCCTGCACTCTGCAGCGTGCCAAGCCCGCGGGGCAGCCCGGCAGGATCCAGCCTTTCCCAGGATAATGCGATCCCTGGGGCTGGGCACAGCCTTTTGCTCCTGGGCAGCAGCAGGTCAGGGGCACCTCGTCGGGCATCCCTGGAGTCTGCAAAGCGGGGAAAGCAGAAGGCACGATCTGCTTTTCCCAGCAGCCTGTCCTGGCTCCTCCAGCCCATTTCCACAGCCCAGGAGCTGCTCTGGCTCCCACTGACTCATCTCCTTTTCCGCCTGGACCTGCCCGCTCCTGCCCGGGGCTGCCCCTCACCCAAATGGGAAATAACGAGCGTGGCCCCGAGTGCTGGAGGAGATGACACAGCCCAAAACGTGACAGCGGTGGACAGATCAGGATTTCCCATCTCCCCCTAAGCCCTGCCTGCCTGGTTAAAGGGTGGCTTAATCCGCCGGCTCTCTCTGAGGTGCAGCCAAGCACAGCAGAGTTAATTAGTGCTGAGCGCTAACACGCTCACCTTGACATACTTTGCCTGTTGCAACTGTCCCTCTGTCCGTCCCCTCCTGTCCCCAGCTCCTGGTGGGCAGACACCCAGCTGCCAGCACCCCTCGGGATGCATTTGGGGATGGTCGGATCCACCTTTGCAGGATGGTTCTCAGCCACCCCTGCTCCTCAGGGCTGGGCTCAGGGGTCCCACGGACCATCCCACCATGAAGGTGGTTCCAATAAATGCAGAAATGCCCCCAGAGGCCAACAGAGGAGGGCTGGCAGCTTGGCCAAGCCACAGAAACAAGGCTATGGAGGCTGGCCACAAACCCTCCAGGCTCCTCTGCAAAGGACAAGCAGCACCTCCCAGCCCCAGGCTGGTTGGGATCACTGGGACCCCAGTCCCTGTCCCTGGCACGGATGCTCAGGGCCAGCATTGTCCCCGTGGCTGCTCAAGGAGGGAGCTGCCCCAGACCCACCTCGAAACTTCTTGGGCGGGTTGTCCAGGTCCCCAGCAGCCGGCTCCACCACGCACCGATCATCCACCAGCCTGCGCAGGGACAAAAGCGGGAGCAGCGTGTCAGTGACAACCAGGTGACAGCAGGGCTCGAGCGAGCGGAACGGCTCCACCACAGCGCTGCAAGAGCAGATGCACCACCGTCACCTGGTCCAAAGCGACAACAACCAAAGCTGCATCGCCTGTTTCCCACCCGTTTGCACTCCATAAATATTTAGCGTGACAACACTCGGCTCCTGGAGCAAGCAGCTGCTCTCGGGTGCTTGGTCCGAACACGTTGCCCCTTGTTCGCCACCACTCGCCATTTCTTTCACGGGTGTTTTTCATCCTGGTCCTTTGGGGCAGATAGAAATCATCAGCAAACACGATGCTTCATGTCAGCCGCACTCCTGGAGCCTTTGCTCAGCGACCCGTGCAGGAGGCTCTGACGCCCACATCCCGCCGGAGCACATCCTGCCTTGCCCAGCTCCCAGCGGAGCTGGATCCATCCCCGGCACGGTGCACTGGCTGCGGCGTTATTTCACTGGAAATCTGGCAAAAATGGGATGAGTTCAACTTTTGTTCGACGGTTCTCCATCTGGGACCTGATCCCACCGGGACGTGGAGGGTGTAGCTGCAGGAGCAGGGGCAGGAGCCCACTAAACCCAGTTATTAATTATTATCTGATCAGAGGTGGAGGCTCTGCCCATCAGATGCGAAGGGTTTTGTGTCTCCTCCCTGCCCACCTCCTTGTTTTCCCAGTGTTGAGCAAAATCCTGCAGGTTGGCCTGGGGTGCCAAGGACCAATTTGGGGATGGATGGGATGTAACTCTTCAAAGTTACCGAGAACAGTAAAGTATAACCCGGCACAAGGTTCTGCTCAGCCCCCAAAGCACGGAGGGACGAGCATCGCCCGAGGGGCTCCCAGGGCCACCCAGAGCTCAGTCTGAGGCTTTCAAGGGAACTGGGTGCTCCAGTGAGACAGGCTGTACCCGCTTGCCAGCTTTCTCCCAACCCCTGGGAAGCGATGCACGGAGAGAAACCACGCTCCTGCCCCGGGCGAGGAAGTGAGAAGCGTGTCTGCACCTGCGGAGGCTGAATTCAGGGAGCCGGGGAGCGTGCGAGTGGATGCAGGGATGTGCCCATGATGCCATCCCGGGAGGGAGCATCCACGGCGGGGGCAGCTCTGTCCCTGCGACGGGAGGGAAGACGCAGCCTGGAGAGATCAGGCATGTGCATGTGAAAGCAAAGGGCACAGCGGGGACCATGCTGTCCCCTCCGCTCCTTGGGGGACTCTCAACCCCAACAACAAACCAAACCACGCTGGAGACAGACACTGCAAAGGGTTGGCAAAAGAGCCAGATATCCCGTTCGCCCATCCAGCCTCCTTCCCCCAGCCCAGCCGCTCTCTGGAGGAGGGGAAAATTCCTTTCAATAGCTCGGCAGAGAGGAATTTGGCCTCCACATTGATGGATTGAGACCCCGGGGACCCCAGCGCTGCATGTCCTTGGCAGCGGAGGGGTGGGCTGGCAGGATGCTCTGAGCACCCGGTGCTGCGCCCGCCACAAAAAAGTTCCCCTGGTGTTCCCCCCGCCACAGCTCCCTGCTGGCTTTAAAGCTCCTTGGGGTTAGGGGAGATTAACCTTAGATTTCAACTAAAGAAGGAAAAGCAATTGCTCTAACACTTTTGGTGGCAGCAGAAGTTTAAAAGCAATTAGCAAAGACCTAGAAGACTGTAAAAAAAAAAAAAAAACCCAAACACAAAAAAACCAAACCCACAAGGTTTCAGTAGCCACACAGTGAGCTGCTGCTTGCCAGCCTTTGCTTTGCCGTGGCTTTGCAAAAACTCGTGGTCAGCAGCGCAGGGGGTTCTGCCCAAATGCAATGCCTTTTCCATGGGCCAAGACAGCAGGATAGTAGCCAGGCACATCCCCAAACTCCTGTGGGGCACGGAGCCTCGGGAGGGCAGCGAAAGAGGGAAAAAGCAGCACGGAGCAGAGGCGGCCGCAGACGGGCTGCATCCTGCGTCTCGCCCCGCAGCAGATATGCAAAGCCTCAGCCCAGCCCCGATGCCACTCACACGTGGTTTTGGTTTCTGTTACTCCTATTCTGACGGGGGACAGGGAGGAACAAACCCTTTCGATGTACCTGGGAGCGCAGCCCACCGAGGGCCGACCCACGGATCAGACCCACGGAGCAAAACACGGACCCTCAGCACGTGCCCAGCTCCCAGCAGCGCCTACAAAAGCAGAGGGTCTAGTGCATCTGTGTTCTTTAAAAATTAAAAAATCCCCCGCCGTCGTGGCTAGGGGTCTCTGAGGAAGCGCCTGACCTGCGTGGCCCATTTCCAGCACCGAAGCAAACAGCAGGGAGCCTGCCCCAGACCCCAGCCCCGCTTTGCTGCCCCTTCCCCACACCCGGTGTCACAGCTCCACTGGGCAGGATTAGAGACAGGGACCTGCCAGGCTGGAAATCTTAATTAGTTAATGATCTCCAGGCAGTTTCAGCATCTTTAATCCTAGGATTACACGCTCTGCGGGAACGCAGAGTGTTCTTTTTATTAAACTGATACTCAGGACTAAGGTTCTTCAGTTGAAAATTGCTGAAAATTCAAGGATTTTGACAGGATGGCCATGAGTCACCTGGGCAACTGCTGGGGCCAGGATGCGCTTCCCCTAATAACTGGCGTTAGCACGCTGGGACGGGGCAGAGGGAAGCTCCCCCCCGTTATTAGAGCAGCGGGGATGCGCAGGCGCCCGCTGCCGCCCCGAGCTGCGGGAACAACGCCGGGCACGCGGAGGGTGGCTTTCATTTCTCAAGTGTTAATGAGAAAACAGACTGTTGGGAGTCTGAGCACCTGGAGGAAGATCCTGCAGGCTGAATGTGCTGATGAAAACTTCACACTTTGCTTTTTCGAATTATCCCCAGGGAGCACGAGGGGCCGGATCCTGCACATCAATGCAGCCCAGCAAAGCGCAGGCGAGCATCTGGTTAGCTTTAAGCCCTGCAAGTCATCGCCGTGGTTCCAGCAGGGCTTTCTGCATGCTTTTTAGAAAAAAAAAAAAAAACACACAAAACCAAAAAAACCCTCAAGCACAAAGTGATTCCCTGGTCCGGGGCCAGCATGCTTGGCCTCGTGCAAGGCAGAGCCTTCGCCGGAGGTCAGGGGAAAAGCAGCACGGCCAGCGCTGCAATCCACGGCCGTCGGACACCCCGAGCATCCCTGGGGACGGCGGCCAGCTGGGGCTGACGTGGAGACATCGCGCCTGCAAGGCGAATGCGGGCTGGGGAAGAGGAGGAATCTTCCCCGGCTGTGCCGTGGCACATGCGATGCTGGGGGGACCCCTGGGATGCTGTGGTCCGGGGGTGCACAGGGAAGGAGGGCTCTGGGGGAGCCCCAACCCAGGCAGGAGCACCCTGCCAGAAATCCCACCAACCCTGGAGGTGAGGATGAGGAGGAAGAGGAAGAAGAGGAAAAGGAGAGCTCGTGGCTGGGCACAGGGCTGGGGCAGCCCCCCAGGTTCGGGGTGTGGGATGGGCACAGAGCCCACAGGGAGGAATTGAAATAAAGTGAGCGAACACAGGGCAGCCACAAAAATGCAGTTTTTTCCCCAATGCCGGGAGGTGGAAGCCGCTCTTGGCCTCGCATGTTTCTCCTCCCTGCAGAGCCAGGTTCGTCCTGACCCGGCACGGCTGGAGTTACCCTTTAACCAACTGCGTTTCCCTGAACTGCTCCACCCTGCAAATCCACCTGCAATCACAATTGCAGCTAGCAAAGCTGCTGTTTCACCTCAAGCAGCCAGCGGCTGTTCCGGCAGGTTGGCCACTGGCCCTTCCCCTCTGCAAGCCCACGGTGCCAGTCCCCGAGCCCCCGACGGGTCCTGGGACCCCCCCGGGATGGGGCAGCACATCCCCTGGCAAGCGCAGGCACCTGCACTGCGTCTCTGTTCCTCTCTGGCTCCAGCATTTGGTGCTGGCTTCTCAGGGCCACCAGATAAGATGGGGACACTGATGGCAGCGGTGTCCCCCAGGGCTCCCAGCATCACCCCATCCATCACGCTGGAGCAGGAACCCAATCAAGGTCTCAGGCTCCTTTAACTGCTTGGCCACTGATTTGCTTTGCCTGGATGATCCCCCCAGAGCACCCCACATCAGCCACTGGTCCCCCCAGCCCAGACCTGCTCCCAGAAGTTCCCATTCCCGGACCTCCTGGGGTTACCAGCACCAGTCCCTATGCAGCAGAGCTACCACACGCAGCCGACACCGCTCCCCGCAGTGGGGTACCACGTCCTGGCAGAGCCGCTGCTCAGCCCCAACCCCACACCCCTGACCCACGCAGCTGCTTTTGTCCCAAACTGTCCCCATCTGCCACTCCCCTGGACGCCTTTAATTTGCAGCAGCGAAGTTGGGCAGCCCTGCAGAGCCCTTCCCCACCTCTCAGCCTCAAATCAAACCACCTGCGGGTCCCTGCATCTCACAAACTGCTCCCGGGCACCTTCCCATGTCCCCAAAACCACTTCTGGCACCTTGGATACATCCATCTCCTCGTCCCCCCATCTCCCCCAAGGGACCATGTCACTCCCAGGGTGCTGAGCAAAGGGATGCTGCTCAGCCCAAAACCTCGGGGTGCTGCTGCTTTCCAGCGGCCAGTTCTCGCCCTGCCTTCCCATGGGATTTCTTAAGTCATCTCCTCCTTTTGGGTTGTATTTAGCTGGTTTGGGTATCTTGGCTCAGCATCCCCCCCCTAGCCCAGCGCTGAGCACACCCGAGTTCTCCCCACACTTCGGTGGATGTTTTTCCTCCTCCAGAGCAAACGCCCACTGCAGAGGTGTGTGGGAGGAAGGGTTTGTGCCCAGGGGCTTTCACCGGTGGGATTTGGGGGGCTGGGAGCCAGGGAGGCTCAGCTGGGGGCTGCGGGGCTCCCCCACCTCTGCCACTAACTAACCCCCTCCAGCAAGCTCCCTGTACAAAAGGAGGAAAGCACTTTAAAAGATAATTAATTAGTGTTAATAAGGGGCATGATTCTCCTTCTCTGCTGAGCCACCCCATCGACGGTGAACGTCCAGGGCTGGGCGAGCCAGTCCAGCCCCCAGGTACCCCCCGGCTCGAGGGAAAGCCGGTGCTTCTGTGGTGGAGCTGCT